GGAGCAGGGCAGCTTGTTACCGAATGCCCCTGCAGGCAAGAAAACATCCCAAAGCCTGCCACGGCCTCGTGGTGGGTTTCCACTCCCCCAGAGCCCAGCAGCCAGCACCCCGGCACTGAGCTGGGGTGGTTGGTCACAACATTTCGGTGCTAAGACTGACCCTGTGGGGCATTAAAATAGCCAGAAAGTGGGATCCCCCACGCAGGACGGGACCATCTCCATCCTCACCACCTCGGTGGAGGCGGACGAGCCCCACAGAGTGCAGTTCCTGGCTCCCCGCCAAGGCAGCCCTCTGAGCCCAGGGCAGCCTCGCTGGGCCAACTACATCAAGGGCGTCATCCAGCACTACCGGGGTAAGGCCCAGGCTGCCAGGTGGGTTAGAGCCCACCTCACATGGGGACGGTGCTCAGTGCCCGGCTTTTGGTGTGCTCCAGGGGCTCTTCCAGTGCTGGTGCAATCCTGCAGCTGCTGCTGGGGCCAGGCTCCAGCAGAGGCGCTTTCAGCTCCAAAGAATCCTGTGTTTGGCGGGGGGATGCCCGGGTCACGCTCTATTGTGGGTCACCCTGCGTTTTAAAATGGGATATTGGACAGGGGGCTCCTCTCTGTCAGTTCCCTGTGAGCTGTGGGGCAGGGCAGCCAGGGGCTCACAGCCCCCCTCCTCCCCTCTGTTCCCGCAGGTGGTCCCGTGCCGGGCTTCAGTGCCGTGATAGCCAGTGACATCCCCCTGGGCGGGGGCCTCTCCAGCTCGGCCGCTCTGGAGGTGGCTACTTACACCTTCCTCCAGCAGCTCTGCCCTGGTAAGGCAGCAGCCGGTCCTGGCACCTGGCACCTCCGTTCCCGGGTGGGAGCCGGGATGAGGGGGGTGCCCTTAGCTAGATCCCACAGCCCTCGGGGAAACACCACTGCAGAGTGGGTCACAACCCCCTGCCACAGCCAGGGCTGGCACCGCTGTGGTTGCAGGGCTCCTCCGACTCACCCAACCTGACCTGACCATACCTCTAAAGCCCATGGACCACCCCTGGGGCTGGCCGGGGGGATGAGAGGATGTTCCCTTGGGAGCATCTTCTCCCCACCCTCATGTCCCCAAAAATGGAGAGACACCAGTGCGGAATTATCGCATCCAGCTGGATCCGGGGACCCACGCTGGCACAGATGCTGTGCACTGGCACAGGAGCAAGCACCTGCAGCAAGACCCCATTCCATGGGAAAGCAATCCTTCATCTTCCTGTTTGCTCCCCCTGCTCCAAGGCAGGAGGCAAAGGTCCCAGAGCTGCTAACCTGCGTCTCTCTGCTCTGGCACAGATGACGGTGATTTGGTAGCCAAGGCGCTGGCGTGCCAGAAAGCGGAGCATACGTTTGCCGGCATGCCCTGCGGGATCATGGACCAGTTCATATCTGTGATGGGCAAGGAAGGCCACGCGCTGCTCATTGACTGCAGGTCAGGGCCGAGCGCCGAGCTCGCTGCGCTGTGCCCACCTCCTCGGGCAGGTGGGGACGAGCTGGTCCCGTGGCCATGAAGTAAATGCAGGAGTGCAGGGAGGGGTTAACCACTGAACCCAGCCCAATATCTCATCGGGGGACTGGGGCTCCCTGCGTTTTAATTCCTGTGTCTTGATTCCTCCTCCTGCATCCTTTCTGCTACTTGCCTGGGCTGTCTTTCCCACAAAGTCGTTAGGGCCTATTATGAGACTCATAATTGGGAGGGAGTGAAATGCTCGAGCGAAATCCTAAACCACATGGACTTTGCCTCTCTGGAGGCAGGAGCTGCCTGCCACATGGCCTCACCCCGGATAGCCGAGGGCTGGAGCGGGCAGGGGGGACGGGCACACGGCCCGCGCTGAGCTCTCGCTGCAGGTCCCTGGAGACTGTCCTCGTCCCACTGACCGATGCCAGCTTGGCCGTCCTCATCACCAACTCCAACGTGCGGCACACGCTGACAGGCAGCGAGTACCCCATGCGCCGGCGGCAGTGCGAGGAGGCGGCCGCGGCGCTTGGCAAGGCCCGCCTGCGAGATGCCACCATGGCCGCACCGGAAGGT